ACTACCGAGGCTTACCCTTGTGTTGTTGCTGAGACTTATGCGACGGCTTCTCAGAACCTTGAGCTGGTGGTGCAGACGATTGACCTAGCGCTTCGAGTTTAGATGGTGTGCACACAGGGGGAAATGATACAAGCTTACCACCACGCGAAGGGTGTTGAGCGTGCGTTGTTGCCACCTGGACCTTCGGGAAAGTGTTGCTGGCAGTATCTACACTCCTTCAATAAAAATGAGACAGCGATGGGTGTAGGACGGCTCACTTTTTCCTGATTGCTGTTGATGGGCTGGCGATGCTGAAAAGAAAGTAGGTTCTATGGAATAAACATGAGCGACCATAAGTTTAAAAATTGGCTAGAGCTCACCCTTTGGGGGGGTCGGAGCATGGTTCTGTGCTTTTTGAGCATGACGTTGGGTATGGCCATTCTGTTTTGCTGCAACACTGATTCAATCACTGGTAAGGTGAGGGACAGTAGGGGGTCTTACACGTCGGCGATGGGTCTGGGAACACCTTGTTCCCGGATATGGTTGCTCCATGTGCTAGTTTACGGCGATTTTTAGGTTACACGACGACATCTGAATAGGTCTAATGGGATCACCTTTGGGCACATGCAAATGTTGGACGTTTCCGGGACGGGGTGGTGAAGGCCTAGTGCCAATACCTTCAGCCCCAGTTACAGATGAATAACAGGTTAATACTTACAGCGCTGAGTTGGAGGCCGAAGAGTGACCTATTAGAGCCGTTTAATTGGATGGCGTAAGGACGGATGAAGATGATAAGCTTACCTCCAAAGAAGGCCTGAGAATGCTTCGGCTTCGGTGCCTCGTTTTTCGAAGAAATGTTGGCTGTATGACAGGAACCTCAGATCACGCGGATGAACACAAGGATAAGTCTCACGTTGAGGTGAATGCCCTTGGACTTTCTGAGGGCCGTTGTTCAGCCCGCTTCCATTACGTTTAGCTGACGAAAGATTCCGTTAGTACCGGAAAAGAACGATATGCTCTGAAGAACTTACGCGTACCCTGGTTTACAGATCGATCTTGGGATGCCCTGTGTCCAGACATTGCTTCGGCTGATGATAGAGACACTATTGATAAGCAGATGTCGAAGGTGCTCATCAGGACTTAGGGACTTGCTTACACGAGCCGTGTAGACCAGTGTAGGCCTACAAAGTTCATGTACGCAAGCTCCAAATCCCTGATGCTTACCTCTGACAAAGTTCGAACCGTTGGCGCCTTGAGATTTGGGAGCCCCGTTACCAGCATTTTGATCTGAGGCAAAGAATATGAGTATTTGTCAGGTTTGAAGCTAGAGGCTTACGTTTAGTCCCATTTGATGGACGGTGTGCGGTGGCTTGTGGTTGTGGGGGTCTAGGTGCAGCAGCTGTACCTGACAACACGCAATCAGTCTCTTATATTTGGGGAGTGGGGAGCTTGGGTTAAATATTGACCTGATGATGCTGGAGGCTTTGAGGAAGCGTTTCCCATCATCTGGGCTGAGAGGAAGTTAGCATAATGGAAGACGATGGAAGAGTTACTGCAATCACGATGGGCTGTAGCTACAGATCGAGGCTTATTGGTAGCTTGAGGGTTAGGGGACCGAGATGCCCCTCCTCCTGCGGCTTGCTTGGGTCCTTGCGATTGTCCACCGGACTTAGACTTGCGATTAGCCATGACTAGACGATGGCGGCAGGATGAGGGCTTTATCTCACGAGGAGAAGATACTTATAGGCTAGGTTAGGTGTGAGCGCTTCTTTATCAACCTTGCATCTTTATATCTTCACTGGCCATCCCTTCACACTTTGACTAGGTATTTGGGGTCAACTTGATTGATGTAGATAGATATAGTAGTAGATTACGCATGCCCAGCTATAACTACATATACATATGAAGAAATTTACCTCAATTATATACAAGGCAACTAACGATAGCAAACGATAACAATTGACAAAAGATAGCGACTTCAGAGAGCGGTTCCTCGCAACTCTTACTTCCAAGAAAGAAAAAAAATCCTCCGAAACCCAGACTACTTGGCCTGATTAATGGAACTTTGATCCAGACCAATCATTTCAAATACATCCTAATTTTCGGAACCTTCAGCCTAACACTATAATGTGTTGAAAAGAAAGCGGTATCATATATAATTCTCTACATAAGCAAACTTTTATTTCAATGGATCTTGCGCATCGAAGTGCAACGCTGCTGCAAGTAACCCAGCTCTGAATATGGAAGGCAGCCACTTTGCGCCTGATGGTCATGTTAATCTTCAGGCCTCCATATCGCCCAATAACGCAAATTTGAACCCTTTCTTCGGTACAGCTTGGGCCGAAGCTTTTCCATTTGACACAGATGCAACAGCCTGCTTCTCCGCTTTTGATCGTTTGACTTTTTTTACACGTTCTTCCTGGAAGGCGTCTGACAGCCCATCCTCAGTGGAATCCCAGATACCACTTGGGAGAGGTTGTGTGATAGCTGTAGTTCCCGTCAGCATGGCATGGAATCTTCGTCCTGAAAGCCTAGAGGCATCGAAAGGCACTCGTTCTGTGAGAAGAAGAGCTTGAGACAGTTGTTCAATACTATCCAGTGCCATCAAAATCTGGGCCATAAGTTGTATGTTGCGATCTTCGATGGGAGGAAGGTCTGGTTTGATACCAGTTGATTCAGACTGACTTTGATCATCGGAAGTCCACAAGATTGAAGAAAGCCAACAGCGTGCTTCATTCTTGGTCCATCGTTCCTTTTCTCTCTCTTTGCTTCCAGATTCCTGCCAGCGATGATGAAGAGTGTGCACAATCCAGCGAACTGCGAGTACTGGAAGAAGGTTATCTGGTGACAGTCGTCGGACAGAGGGCGAGTCGGATGCCAAAGCTCTGAGAAAGACGACAAGTCGATCCTCCACTGATATCAGAACAAGAGGCGGTGAACCGTCCGTTACGTATTCAGAGAGTGAGATAGAGATGAGGAGGTCAGAAATCGGAGTCACCACAATATTTTCTGAAGCGATCCTTGTTCCTTTTCGTAGATACTCTGTGATGACCGGAGGTCCTGAAGGACGATGTCGATGTGAAGATACAGAGGCAGGCGGTTCTGTTGCTATTTCGTCCTCTAAAGAGTGAAGACGATGCAATTCTCCTTTCAGAGGGGCTAGAAAATCGGTGGTGCTACCTTCGCCATCCGACTCAACAACATCAACGAGTTCGTCGTCGTCTGCTTCTTCTTCTTCTTTTCCCACTGACCCTTCATCATCTTCGTGGCCTGCGGCCGGGAGACCGACAGTGTCCTCCAAAATGGCAACAGTCCATTCGCGAATTGGCTTTCCGATACTTCGACCTACAGTTTCTAGGTCTGGGTTCTCAAGGAACAACCGAGGCCAATACGATCCTGTGTTAAGGGCGTCCATGAGTTTCGGAGGAAGAAGACCACTTCGATACACATCCAAGTATTTCTCCCGCGCTTCCAGTAAATCGGGTGCCTTTTGGGTTGAATCTTCCGCTTGGCGCATCACTTTACGAGAAATCATTGGAAGCAAAGAACAGGTTTCGGGATCATGTAATGCGCAGAAACTAGTTGACCAGAGACCTTCCCGACCCCCAACATCTCCTCCATATTTTGGAATAGCGTACTGTAGTGTAGCGTTCACGATTTTATCGACAATGTCTTCGATCTCTCCAGTTCCCATGGTTGTGGTGAGGCGACCGAGAAGAGCATTAACAGTCCTGTCAATGAGATCCATGACGCTTCCAACCTGGTGTTTGGCCTTGCGCCGTTGTGCCCCCGGTGATATCACAGAATGGATGGTATTTGCAACTTTCTCTATCCTTTGGATTAAGGTAAGTTGTCTATCGAAGAATAGCGCCTGTATCTTGCGGGAATTCGATTCTGAGTCCTTGGAGAAGTCATTGCCAACAAGCGCACCTAGGAGAGGGAGAAGGCTGACAGGGATGTTCAGATGTTTGGCTAGAGTCTCCGGGCTATAGGCAACGACGGCCAACGACAGTTCTGGCATGTTATCGGGAGGCGCAAGGCCTCCTGAGAATCTTGCATCGTTCAGGACTTTCCGTTTGGCCTTAGGCTTTCTTACCGTTTGAAACTCGCCATCATCTCCGTTCATAGACTCTACATCTTGGAAGGAGTCTGGTATCTGCCATACCATCTCGCTTAAAGGGATATATCCTAAGTATCCATCCGCGTTGAGAATAACGAAATCGGAATCGTTTCCAACGACATAACCTCCAATTCTACCGGCCAATTCTACAGCGTAAGGATCCCCTTCTTCATCAGCAAAATGAAGCTCGAGATTGTTAGTTACAGATCTGAGTGTTTCCAGAGCATGGATACATGCTGAATATGCAAGAGGTGGTAATATCCGTGTTTCACTTAGGAAGCGGCCTGTAGATCTTGAGGCGGTAGATGTGCGAAAGAAGAGTTGAGCTGGCTGGATATGAGACTGGCTGAGGCGCGATATGACAGTTGGGAATTTAAGGTCCGGGCATGCACCTGTATCCCAGTGAGGTGCTAGAAGCAGAAATATGGCCTCAGGTTCCACATACCATCGAAGACGAAGTACACTTGTACCCCAGCCTTGATCCAAGCCTGAACGACAGTTTTTACAAGGTTCGTAAATTCAGAGTATTCCCCGCCGTAAACCCAGGGGATATTGGAATTATTATACAGATCATAAATGAAGCTAGTAATCTCCGGTAAGTGTGACTCAGTGCTCAGATGAGTAGAGTAACTCACGACCAACCATCTACGACGATTGGGATTGACTGCTTGGGACTTGATTGGGAGGACAAAACGATTGTAGTGGAAAGAAAACGTTGCTTTTCGCGTAGATAAGTTGCAAGACCGTATACGCCCATACCTCCATGTATACAACCAAGAAAGATGTTCAAAGAGATTGGATGATCGCAAGTATCGAATCATCTGTAGTCACAATGTCTACCGGCGCGGTCCGGGACTACCTAGATGGCCGGAAATCTCTAAATTCTACTGACAAAATAGTGGGCAACGTGGCCGAGTGGTCTAAGGCGCTGGAATTAGGTATCCTTATATCCAGTCCGAAAGGGCGAGGGTTCGAACCCCTCCGTTGTCATAGCTTGTCTTTTGGTTTTGTTTTGAGAGTTGACAGAGGCGACTACATTTGAGACTGACAGCATGGTTGGACAGAGCACAGGTTAATATTTTCTTGTAAGGTATGTAGAACAAATAAATTATGTCAATGTCCCAGATGACGCTTCTATGCTTGTGAAAAGAAAATCAATATGCAAATGCTAGTGAATATGTCTATGTCGAGCCCTTTTTGCCATCATCCTTAGGTACATCCCATTTCTTCCACTGTTCATAAGCGTGTGCAATTGTCCGTTGGGCGAGAATAAAGGGTTCGTCCGTCTTGGCTTTCTCCCATACCCGTAGAGCAAACTGCTTCTGTTCCCCCGACGCTAGGCTCTCATGCAAGATGCTCAGGACCTGATAAGTTGGCTGAAGGAATTTGTCGATTTTCTCGAAAATTGATGGAAAATCAGGTGGCAAAGGAACTAATACCGAGAGAGAACTGGAAGATCGAAACACCATCAGATGTAGTCCATTTGGCTGTAAGTTTTTACGTACCTTGTGTCAGGCATCGGCTTTGGAGGAACGATGGCACCCCACCATTGCCCTGATTGTGACGGCTGGCCTGCCACCCCGTCGACGCCATGCTTCAGGTGTTCTTGATAGTCATGCCATAGTTCTTTCCTGCGCTCACGCTTCAAGTCAGCCTGCTTTTGCTTCTGCAAGTCTAGCATCATCATGTCTGTCTTTTGGAGAACAGCCCATCGACTTTGGCCGGTCCAAAGATACCAACCCTCATCCCAGTACTTCGTAGAAGACTTGGGACGATCATCGGAGTCGTCGTTCGAGGTGCCTCCCAGCAGACGAGGAAGGTTGACGGATTGCCCCTCTGCCGGCAAGGGATACTTAGCCTTGCCATCGGAACCAACATTCTCATGTCTCTTGAAAGACAAAATGTTTCGTACTTCATGGGGAAAGATCTTGCGGAGGCAGATAGATCTACAGTTGGGTTCTTTACTGTGAATGCGACCGCTGACAGACTGTGAGCAATAGGTCAGACACCATTCATCCGACTTCGGTGAGAATCGACCTTTGGTTTATAAATCTAATTAGTGATACATTTACTTCAAGCAGTCACCAGGAAGACTCACCCTGGGGTGGCGTTAGGATCTTTATTGTCGGCCAGTCAGCAAAAGGTGGCTTTCTAACTCTGGGTTGCTGTTGTTGTTGCTGAGATGAAGCTGGTGTTTCTGAGGACGACATGGATGATGGCGTTTGGTGGAGCGCGGGAGGTGGCTTGCATCCGAAATCGGCACGTGAGCATATTAGGGCGCCGCTTCAACTACCGCGCAATAAATTTTCTTTCTTCTCTCATAATTTCTTTACAATTCGTACTGCTCGAAGAATCGTTGTCGCAGCTCACACACAGGATAGCTTCCCGCTTTCCAGATTCAGCTGTGGGGAAAGTCCCCGGAGATACAGAGCATGCCCTCGACTATCTAATGGAAAGCAACCGGCTCTAAGCACGACGGTACTGGTCGAGGATGGCGAGAATGATTTGCCAGAAAGCCTCTGTTTGGCTCCTGGTTCCATCTCGTTCACTCTGTTGTTTTTTCTGACGGTGGGCCTTCGATTTAAGGCGCGGATGTGCGAAGATATGAGCATGTCCGTTGCTCGGCGGTTTCATCCAAGGATAGACTCTTCGTTGCTCATAGACATAGTTATACGATTGTTGAACCTTTATGGGTCATCAACTCAATGGGGCTCACTCTCAAGCAGTACATGACCTTTAATATTTTTTCCACCTTTGGAACCTTGTCGTTCCTGTGTGTTGTCGTAGGGGCGAATTGATTAATTCTGGTGAGCATTTTCTGCTATTTTTTTCCTATGATGGCTGGTTCTTTTATTTTGAATTTCTTCATGGTGTATACCCCAATAACTCTCGGTTGCTGGGGGTGGGCTCCAGAATTTGACAACTCTGATACTTCTACATTTACTTCTTGAAATATGTTAGCTCATCCCTTATGTTTTTAGGTCACTTAGAAATGTTCCATTTTCCCGTAACATACTTGGGACATTGCTTTATGCAAGATATCCAACTCTGTCAAAGATACGTACATATGTACAGGTTTAAATGACGGTGTATATTTTATAAATGGGTCGCCTTTGCATGTGCTCTAGCCACCTTTCTTGCAACGGGAGCTTGGCTGAAGAAAAGTTATCAGTTCAATGGAAAAAGGCAAGGAAGGAAAGATTGCATAAAGCTTACAAACTGAGAGCTCAAAGTTTGGCACTGATGTGGTCATCATGGGGATCTTTGCCTGCGAGTTCCTCCTTGGCTCGATCGCGAAGCTCCCGGCGAAGAATCTTACCAGCAGCACTAAACAATTATCAAGGTCGTCGTGAATGTTGCTAGTCTTCACAAACACTCGCTTCTTACCTCTTGGGAATGACATCAGTCACCACAATGCCTGAGAGAGTTGAATGTCAGTGATGCTTAACGCATGGTTTGGAGAACACCGAAAGCGACTCACCCCCTCGGAGGAACTTATGTCGTGCCACTTTTGTCTGGATCCATGCTTTGATATTCTCGGCAAACTTGACAATGTCTGCCTCCGCTTTCACTCCATCAGGTCGCGCAGGAACGACATATGCCCTGAAGATCAATGAGCAGCGGAGAAGTAATCAAATCAGATGGTTCACCCGCACCTAGGAAGTTCGGTTGCCTCTTTCGCACTATGGACGCCAATAACGGCGGCATCTGCTATATCAGGATGGGTAAGCAGTACGCCCTCCAGTTCAGCTGGCGGTACTGATCGAGATTGTGTAAGTCAGGCATTGGTTAACTTCAACGGGATTTGCTAGGCTTGTACCTTGAAAGCCCTGCACCATATCAGACGGGTAAATATCAAGATAAATAATTTCAGCTCTATACCTTATATTTAATCAACTCCTTGCGTCGATCAACGATATAATAAAAGCCCTCAGGATCCCGAATTGCAATGTCACCTGTTTTGAACCAACCGTCTGGAGTTATGGCATCTTGGGTCGCCTTTGCGTTGTTAAGATAACCCTGGGCGTTTTCAAGGATACAACTGGGACTTTAAAGGAAAGAGAAACACACCTTCATGATGGTTGGACCTCGCATCCACAGTTCTCCAGCTTCTCCTTCACCTGCTTCGAGATTGCCATCGCCATCGCCATCAAGCAAGAGACGGGCTTCAAGATTTGGCAAAAGGACTCCTATACTTCCAACTTTGCGTACAGAATGGATCCCAGAGAGCATATGGGAATTCGGGGACGTTTCAGTAAGGCCATAACCTATAACATCATTCAAGGAAATAAACAAGAATGTCAAGGGTAAGCGCTACCTTGAGCGATAATCATAGGGTCTTTACCCTTGCGCTTGGTCGAAAACCTGGTAATCACCTGATGTCCTCCTTGAGTCAACGAATCGAGGAATGACGTGGCAGAGACCCACCTGCTGTGCTAAAGTTGCGCTCAAAGGTGCTGCACCCGAAAATAATATTCGTAGAGAGGACATATCGTATTGGTCGACAGCTATCATGGCGGTAAAAACAATGAAATCAGATGCCAGCGTATTTCACATACCAGGATGGCGAGCGAGCACGACTAAAACTGGTGGTACAACGAGCGAACAAGTTATTTTATACCGCTCGATATTAGCGCAAAATTGGACCGGATCGAAACGTTGCATAATTGCGACCGATAAGCCAATTTTGAAAGGGAATAGAAGGAGATTAACAGCGCCTGTCCCCAGGTCAGATAAGCGTGCGTGTAGCGCTATACTTGAGTCTATCTCACCATAAATATGGTAAAAGGGTAAAATGCCAAGGTAGGTGTCGTCAGGACCCGTCCTTGTCCAAAGAGGTGAAGCCATGTCCAAGACTGATGATATATTTCTATGAGTGGTCTGCAAATGATTAATTAGTGGGCCGTGAAAACAAAGATAAAGAACGCACCTCAACACCCTTGGGCTTTCCAGTTGTACCTGAAATACAAATCGGCATGGTCAGTTCTCGAGCAAGTAGTGACTTGGCTGCCTACCTGAGCTATAACACAGGTACACAGTCTCGTTTGATTTCTCTCCATCAAACCTTTCCTCCCCTTTCAGGGTGCCTAATTCCAGCAGATCGGTCATTTTAAGTGAGTGAGCAAGATCTGGCTTAATCGAAACAGCAGGCCCCCCGGCCCATTCGAGTCCATTCGTCATGACAATGATTCTTTCGTTCGCTTCTTTCTGACTGAATCCGAGACTCTTAAGGGTTTCCTGAACAGTAGAACATCCATCCTCGCTTGTGAAGATGAGTCTCGCTCTGCTGTCGGTATATTGGAAAGCAAGTTCGCGGGCGTTATAAGCGCTGTTGGCAAGCGTGCACCTTAACCCAGCCGCAACTAAAGAAGCATGTAATTAAAGTTCGGAGTACACAATACATGGAAGCACTTGCCTGAGCCAAACAATACAACTGGCCAAGCCAATGAGTTGTGGGAATAAATCATGACAGTGTCACCCCGTTTGGCGGAAAGAACCGGGTGGTTCTGGAGACCATAACCAAATGAAAGGGCCAAATGCCTGAGCTGAGCACGAGTGATAGTGGTACCTGTTATAGTGTCGATGAAAGCCGGGAGTGAGGCATGGAAGCCGCCAATGTCATTGGGACCCGGGGAAGAGAAGAGATGAGTGAATAAAGAATGGGCAAATAATGGTACAGAAGGAAGTGGAGAAGTGTAGATTCTGGGTGCCATTGTCGAGATATTCTCAAAGGACTGGAACAACACAGCATATGTTTGCGTTCAACCAAATTTAAGTCTGTCAGGTACATTCTCTAGAACGTGCGCGTGACCACTGAATTGGATGCGCGCGGTTTTCGTTCCACCTGAGCTACATACACATCTTGACACATTAGATAGAGATTTCAGTTATGCATTCCACACACATGAAATTGGGCAATTCCGACTTGGTAGCATTATGAAGCAGCATCTTTAGTGTATTTCAATGCAACAACGAAGGAGGCAAATTTG